GTTCTCCAGTCAAGCATAGGACACTGTTGGAACTGACCCATTTATGATTCATACAGGCAGCTGTCTATTTTATCAACAGCCATGATAGCCAAATCATAAAGCAACAAATCTGAACTAGAAGATATAAACACCACTGCAAGAATGACTGCGATAAATGAGGGAAATTAAAAATCATTAAATGATAGCAACACTGAATGTAAACATGAGATCTGCTATCTTGTATCTAAGTGAAGGGAACCTATCCCTCAGCAAGTTCTCAATGCCAAGCATTCAGGTATCTAATAACTGGGTCAGAGCTTCCCTCTATACTTCTAGTGACTTGTAATGAAAATTGAGAACACATACTGATTCAGCTTGGTAAGAGAGTACTTTGAAAAGGCTTTTCTCCACATCAGCTCTGTGCACTTGAATATCTGCTTCACCCTCGCTCCCCTTCCGTAACTTTGCATACAGCTTTTCTATACTCTGGAAAACAAAGTGCAGGCATCACCCATGGAACTTACAAATGGGGGTGTATGTAAGAAATCAAAACTGGGAAAGAACTTACACTCATGGCATTCTCTAGAAATCCATCTGCAAGACCAGCTTTTCCAATATCTATCCATCCTTTCCCAGTTTTCATAGACATCTGAAGGAGGAAATGGTTAAGTCTTTTGTGAAAATGCAGTCACTGTCAAAAAAGGCAATGTCAGCTCTCATCTCTTTGTTGCATATGTCTACCACAGGACAAGGGTATTTCAGCTCTGCAGTTTGTGAGAAGCAACTCTCCCTTCTGAATGATCACTCAGATGCAGCATAAGACTTGTGGTGGCCTACTAGACATTATTACAAGATACTGAAATTAATGCATGTTCAGCTCATAACATATTTTACCCTGTGAGAAGATGTGATGCTAACCACACTGTCCAGACACTCCTAGCTCCAATGGCTCACCCAGGTATCCCTGTAAGATACAGGTCCCACTTCAGCATGTACTTTGTTTTCTTAAAAGGGAAAAAATGGGATCATCAATCTTATCTTTCCTTAACTGATGAGAAGAGAGAGTCAGCAATACTCCTGCCAAAACACCAAAACATCCTTCCAGAACTAGACATATAGTCTCTTTCCAAAGCAAATGTAATAAGATTTGATTCCCTGGGGGATCAACTGTATTTCATCACTCACCCACAATTAGCCTTACCAAAATCTGTCTTCGAATAGTTCCCTCCGGAGGATCGCTGCCTTCACAAAGGCAAATCAGTCTGCAGGCAACAAACCGCACTGCAAGAAAACAGTGCAGGCATTCAAAAGTTTCCTTTTCTCTACTGCTCAATTTTTTTATAGAAAGTCAAGTCCTGCCATATCTGAAAGACTATCTGGCATTTTAAATCACAACACAGAAAAATCTGAAAGCTTCAGGAGTCAAAGCAATCTGAATTTTAGCCAAGATGTTTAAAACTGCTTTTCGGGCAGTAAGAAAAAAAAATATATTCTCATTAAAATACCTATTAAACAATTTAGAGAGAGTTTAAGTTAAATACATGGTATTCAGAGATTTAATTACATTGCAGGTGCTTACAGTAACATTTCTTGAAAGCCTCAAAATAGCCTTCAGCAAAATAAGGCAATGAAGTTTAATAATCTTTACAGTTTCAAAGTAAAAAGCAAAAATATTTTCAAGACTTCCTTAGACATCAGGGATGGAAAAGACACTAAATATATTTAAAACAGCCTCTCCCTGGCCCTTCAGCTGTGATCTGAGAACATCACGCTCTATTTTGTGTCAACTTACCCTTTTCCCTTTACCTGGTATAATTTATATGATGCAGATTATACATATTTTTGACTATAATCCCTCAAGACAAGAATGTAGGCCTGACACTGCAATCCCACAGAACCACAGAAAGAACATGCTGAGGGAAAAGACCAAAACCTCATTTCTGCTTTCCCCCAGCCCTGCTCCTGGCCCAAGAGAACCCACCAGCTGTGCACCTGGCTGTAACAGGCCAGTGAAAAGAGGACTTAGAATGTGTCTACATGTAAACATGGATGAGATAGTTACATTTAGAAAACAAGCTCACTTGATACAAATTAAGTGACCAACAGTCCAAAATTTACATCTGTGTTATTTCCATACATTTTTAGATTTGGACCACACTATGAGAAATGCAATTACAGCTTCCTTTGGTCACATCACCCCTTTACTGTGCTCTGGCATGGAAAGGGCAGTGGGAAGAATGCCTACACTGATTCTGTGGCACAAGAAGGTAACTATTACACCAGGATGCTTCCTCTTGAACTGTTTATACAAGCCCACCGGTACATTTTTCTCTTTCTAGCCCATGTCTGCAAAGACTCAAACAAATCTCCAGCACTACTTATGTGCCTGCCAGCAGCGTGTTTAGCTTCCACGGCACAGCACACAGCACACCTTTAGGGAGGTACAGAACATACGCACGTTTGGCTCTTTGCTCATCACTGATAACAGCACCCGTGTGTTTGGTCACAGCCCAGTTCCACAAGCTGACTGCACACTCTTCAACCTGAAGAGGAGAATTCCACTCAATTTAATTTTGTCCTGGCTGTGGATCCCATTGAAATTTACTACTGGAAAAAGAAGCATCTTTCATGTGTTTCACAGGAATGGCCTCTCCACATGTTTACACAACTCCCTTTACATCATGTAACTCCTTTACACCAAAGGTGTGAGCTTTCCATAAATCTGTCACAGGATCCCACAGGGACACGTTGGACAGTGACCTGAAAACAGGCATGCTGAATGGATGCAGCATTTCTTCACCTAAAATCTGAAGGGGTTGGAAAAGAACTCTAAGGATCTTGTCACATTTGAGAACCATCTGTAGTAAGGCTTCACCTCTTTTGCACATCAAAAAGAACACTAAGTAGCTTAATTACTTTAAATACCTACACTGAGAAACTTTGGATAGTAGCAAACAAAGAACAAAGGTTACTGACTATACACTCTCGTTAAAAAGGTACAGCTCTACATAAAGGCAATAAGCTGCTTTAGCAACCCACCCTGAGGGGCTGCATTTTCCATCACTTTATTCTTCTTTTCGTGACAGATCTTGCCTATGAACACACTCTTGCCTATCTAGGAGAGAGTTCATAGCCCCTCTTATTGATGTGGCCAGATTACAAATTAATGCTTTCTCCTTTCTTCAAAAATAATGTAGCCCAACTGATTCAGGAAGATTCACTTTTATGCTCTTGTACTTCTTTACACACTGTACTATTGACACTTTCTGTTACAACTCCTGCTAACTTATCCTCCTTGCTGCAAATTTAGGACTTCCAAAATCAGTGTTTCTTAGCTGATAATTGCTACTTATTAAATGTCTCTTGAAAATATAATTTTAGAGGAAGAAGTTGGACAATACCTCAGCTGGTCTTTTTCCTTATTTCAGATTCACGTATTACCAGATTTCTCTTTGAAAAAATAACTTTTAAAGTAGATGTTTACTACTTTCTAAGTACTCCTCTAGGAGAAATAAACAGAAGAAAAAACTAAACATTATAAACAGCCACCTGATAAACTTTTACAAGGACTGAAAATGAGTACCTCCAATATAATATTGTGTGCTGGAATACTGTTTACCAGGCAGTTAAAATAACAGGCTTGCTTGTTTTGTTCTTCCTTGGATTATCTGCTGTCACTATGGGAATCCACAGACAAGGTGAGAAGGACCTCTCCTCTGATCCAGTACCAAACTCTTAATGCATCAGTGCTCTCAGCTTGCATTTTTACTTAAAATTACAACTAGATACTACTAGCAATTGGAAATAATAAATACGTTAACAGCATCAGTAACCAGTAATTTTTCCCATTATTATCACAGAATGGTTTGGGTTGGAAGTGACCTGAAAGACCACCCAGTTCCAACCCCCTGCCACAGGCAGGGACACCTTTCACCAGACTAGGTTGCTCCAAGCCCTGTCCAACCTGGCCTTGGGCACTTCCATGGATGGGGCAGTCTCAGCTTCTCTGGACAACCTGTGCCAGGGCCTCTCCGACCTCTCAGTGTCTTACAAATATCTAAGTCAATCTTCTTTCAATGCAAAGCCATTTCCCCTTTTCCTGACATTTCAAGCCCTTGCCCAGAGTCCTTCTCCAGCTCTCTTGGAATCCCTTTAGGCACTGAAGGTGCTGTAAGGTCTTCCAGAGCCTTCTTTTCTGGCTGAACTCTGTCTGTTTTTCCCAGGAGAGGTGCGCCAGCCCTTCAATCACCCTCATGGCTCCCTCCAGGTCCACATCCTTCATGAGACATCCAGGTGGGGTCTCATGAGAGCAGAGTCAACGACACACTTCTACATTCAGGATCATAATTTCGCATTGACTTTTAAAAATAACACTTCCCACTTTATTTGGGACTTTCACGCTATTGGGGCAAACGACGAAGAAGTGAACCCTTTTCTTTACATTTCAGTAGTGCTACACGTTTAGCTTCCCCGCCAAGGGTGGGAAGCAGCAGCAGCTGGTGTCTGTGTCGACGGAGCTGCAGCACCAACCTGGGCAAGGGCTGTGGGGTGTGAAGCACCTGCACCCCCCGTTTCTTCAGACGGGCTGGCAGCGGGGGGCTCTCCCTCCGCCACCTTCCCGTCCTCTTCAGAGATGCTCTCCGCCGCCCGGAACAGCTCCTCCGTGAGGGCGGCAATGCGGGACGGCGCCTCTTCCCCCAGCAGCTCCCGCACCAGCGCTGTAAGACAGGGCAGCGGGGCGTGACACACAGCCCAACGTGAGCAGCCAGTGGCGGCGCTTATCGGGAAGGGAAAGCCCGCGACCCGCGGCACCTTCTACGGCCGCCGCTCGCGTCCCCGCCATGGCCCCTCAGCGGCAGCTCCGTGAGGGGCGCGGAACCAAGGGAGCAGCGCCCCCGCACTGCGCGCGCGCGCCCCGACACAGCGATGCCGGCGGGCCCCCGCGCCGCCGATTGGCTGTCTGGCTGTTTTGCCCCGCCCCCCATCCCGAGTGACAGCCGGCGCGGCCAATCGCGCGGGGCGGCGGAGCGGCGTCTCTCGCGCGCCGCTGGCCGCGTTCGGTGCGCGGCGGTTCTGGAACGATCCCGGCAGCGGGGCCCGGCGGCGGGGCCCGGGTGGGCGCCATGTCGGGGCTGCTGCACACCACGCTCAGCGGGCTCAACAGCGACTCGTACTGCGAGATCAGCCAGTACCGGGACCAGCACTTCCGGGTGCGCCCGGCGTGACGGGTGGCAGGGCCAGGCCGGGGCGGGGAGGGCTGAGGCCGGGGCAAGGCCGTGCAGGAAGCGGGCAGCGGGAGGGCACGGGGCGGTGGCAGCGGGACGGCGAGCGCGCTGAGCCCGCGGCGTGCGCCTCTGTGCCCGCAGGGTAGCAGGCAGCTGCAGGAGAAATCGCTGAAGATTTCCTCCACGCTGTATGTCGGCAACCTCTCCTTCTACACCACCGAGGAGCAGATCCAGGAGCTGTTCTCCAAGTGCGGGGATGTCAAGAGGATTGTCATGGGTCTGGACAAGATCAAGAAAACCCCCTGTGGCTTCTGCTTTGTAGAGTATCCTTTCTGGTTCCCTCCTGTCAGTACGGGTGAGGTTGGCACCTGTACTTCCTCTGCACAGGAAGTGTGTCTGCACCGCTGCTGGGAAGGTGACAGCCAAGTGCTTCCTACCGGGCACATCCCGGCCGTCCTTGCACCTTCCTCTCCGCACCCTGAGACTGATTGTATAGTGGTGCTGTATGTGACAAGTGCCACCAGAGCTGTAGTTTCTGGAGGTGGCAGAGAGCCGCTTTAATTCATTAATTTCTTCAATGGTTTGAGGGCCAAAATGAGAACTGTTAGTCATCAATCTGCCGTCTTCTATGTCCAGAGCACGTGTTTACTTTCTCATCTCAACTGCACACCTGGAGGAAGTAGTAGGATAAGCCATGGGGGCATTTTCAAGCAGAGTACACGCTTATACAGGTTGTGCCAGAAGCTGTCTGTGCAAAGCTCTCCTGTGAAACCTGCTCCTTTTGTTCTATTTCAGTCAAGTTTTACATAGTACAAAAAGGCATATTACTGATTTCTTGCCCTTAGCAAGGCTTTAATGTCGGTTCCATTGTCTTGTCTGTGCAGGTACTAACATTAAAGTGCAGAATCCTTTCTGAGCATTAGCTGCTCTTACCTTGGATTTACATGAGTGCAGTTTTTACATGAGTGCAGCTAACATTAAAGTGTAGCATCCTTTCTGAGCATTAGCTGCTCTTACCTTGGATTTACATGAGTGCAGTTTTTGATCCCGTAGAGAAGAGCAGGAAGAGTAGAAAAGGCTGGAAGGCAGTGGGGAGAGTTCAGCTTCTCATATACAGTACTTCCCTGGGTTTTTTTTCCATGTACCCCACAAAAAGCACACTTAGTTGTCCTTACAGAGTGCCTCAGGTACTACACGAGAGCCGATGCTGAGCACGCCATGAGGTTCATCAACGGCACACGGCTGGACGACCGCATCATCCGCACGGACTGGGATGCAGGGTTTAAGGAGGGCCGACAGTATGGGAGAGGAAAGACTGGAGGACAGGTAAAGGCAATGGCAGTTCATCCCTGAATTTGATCCTGTAAGACTCTGTGTACTTACTTGCTGGTTTTGTCTCAGGGAGAACATTGTGCAGACTGTAAAGACCTGATAACGAAGTTTACTCAGTCCCAGGTTGTTTCAGTAATTGACACCTGGTGTTAAAGGCTGGAAATAGGGCTTAAGGCCACTTCTGTCTAGGACTGCAAACTTCCTGCAATGCAAGCAGAATGTTCCCTAATCCAAGCTAGTACCCTTGAAATGATCCAGAATTTGAGTAGAGGGAAAGCAGTGTGGCTGCCAGGCCAATCTCATAATACAGCACTTTCCCCAAGGGCAAAGACGAGGTTTAGATGAGATAAAGTGTTCTGAAGGCCAAACCTGGCAGTTCTGAAGTGTGTACTGAGAAGCTGAACACAAATATTTTGGGGTCTTCTTTGCTTCTTACCTGAAAAAAATCTCAACAATCAGATACATCCTTTTTGTTCATTTTCACTACCATTACCACCTCTTTGGTGGATTAGTTGAAGAGATCTCAGACGAGTTGAAGTGCTTCTAATCTGAATTTCAGTTCCCCACCAAGTGAACAAGGAGGGGATGATGATTCTGAAGCCTAGTAGGGGACAGGCAGTGCTGGCTGTTAATATTTGTTGTTGCTGTGCCCCAGGTGCGAGATGAATACCGGACAGACTACGATGTGGGAAGAGGTGGCTTTGGCAAGATCATTCAGATGCAGAAGGCAAATCACCAGCCTGCAATCTATTAATTGCCTCGTGGCTCCTAGCTCGTAGAGGGCTCTGTCCTTCCAGAGCTAGCCCTGTTCTCTCATTTGGGATCGGGGTATGGAGTGAGATCCAAGTTCCAGCAAAAGGTAACTCTCCTTAGACTGTGGATATACATGTGTTCATTATCCCTTCTTTCTGAGCTAGAGAGGATGTTCTGTGCTGATGCAGGGCAACAAGGGGAAAAAAAGGACAGCTCTGTAGGATTTTGGGCAAGAAGAAATGCAGCATGTCACACACACCTTATGCTGACATACTCTTCATGTTGCACTTAAGCAGGTGGCTTCCTCCAAGCTGCAATTGCAGCTGTGGTTGCTTTCAAACGGAACTTGTTTTAAAAGCTTACCACCACTGGAGCCCTCCAAGTGCCTGGGCACCTAGTGAGGATGCACAAAGAGATTCAGGTTTCTAATTTACAACCTTACCTGCTTAATAAACAGTATCACTGTTTGAATGAGAGAAGTGGACAAGTCTTATCATCCACTTGGAGGTGCTTGTCTGCACATCTAGCCCTTGGGTTGGTCAGGGCCTGCAGAGCATTTCTCTTTGTGAGCCCCCAGTGCTGCCTGGCTTTTCACATCCTCGCTGTCCGGTGTGATTTTGTTAAAAGTTTCTGTTAATTTTTTTAAATAAACAGTTACATTGGGTCTGACTGAGATGAAGGTAATTTTACACCTAGCAGCCCTTGTAGAGCTGTGTTTTGTATTGGTAGCTAGGAAGGTGTTGATAAAACACCAGTGTTTTGGCTGTTGTTGAACAATGTTCCCACAGCGTCAAGGCTGTCTCTAACATTCCCACCTCACCAGCAGGCTGGGGTGGGGGCAAGATCTTGGGATATTCCAGACCATATGGCATCTGCTCAGCAGTAACAGTTAAGAGAAGGGAGATGGGGGGCATTCCTTATTAAAACATCTGTCTTCTGGAGCAGCTGCTCTGTGTACTGAAGCTGTGCTTCCCAAGAAGTGGCCGGACATCTCCTGCTGGTCGAAAGCAGAGAATAAATATTTAGTTTTCCTTTGCTCCCACACGCAGCCTTGCTTTTGCTTTATTAAACTGCCTTTATCTTGGCCCACAAATTCCATTCCCATCTTCCTTCTCCCTGCCCCCTCCCACTGAGGAGGGGAGTGAGAGAGCAGCTTGGTGGGTGCCTGGTGTCCAGGCAGGGTCAGCCCACCACTGTTTGGTGCCCAGTGTGGGGCCTGAGCAATGGCTGTTCTGTGCTAAGTGTGCTTTAGCCATAGTAGTTACTAAGCAGGCAGCTCCTGTTGGGTCACAGAGTTTGTTGGCTGCATTTCTTATCTCTTTACTTTGCTGGGCTTTGGGAACATGTTAGTACAAACCATGGCTCTGTGCTTTGCCCTGGCACTGATGGCCTTGTTCTGCTGGGGGAGCTGCCTAGTGGAGAGGATCCCATTTCCCACTCCCACCTGGTGTGGGTGGCTTTATTGTTCCTGCTCAGCCTTACGTGAGAGGTTTAATGCTACTAATTAACACGGTTGGCATATCATGGGGTCTGTGTAATCTGGTGTAAGAGAAGACAATTTTTGCGTGAGTCAACACTGAAATGTGCCCTGAGGTGGCTGGTCCGTGGGTGGCAGAGTGTGTGGAAGGATTTGGGCAAGTGCCTGGGCTAGTTATGACCTCCCATAGCCTGGGACTACACCTGAACAGGCAAGTAACCCTGGCAAACTGACATGCCAACAGACAGAAGGTGCCTACCCCAGTGAAACCCAGCAGCTTCTGGCACTGTACTGGGGCTTGGCATGTTCCTGCAAAGCCACAGTTGAGGGCTGTCAGAGGGCTGTGGTTAGCTCAGGGATCCCAGCCACCTCTGAGAGTAACTTGATTGAGACCAGGGACAAACTCCATCTGAGGTGATAGTAGAGATAGGGGCCCAAACAAGAACAACTACAGTTACCCCAGTTGTGGGAAAAACCCAGTGGACATGGAAGTCAGTAGGTCTTTTATCACCAGGTATTAGGGAAGGAGGTAGAAGAAGGGTTCCATCAAGCTGATCCTTGAGAAAAGAAATGCAGGAAGGAGTGAGGGAATTCAGACAAGAAGCAGAAACCACCCAGTCTAACCTCATCAGAACTTTGAGATGTGGAAAGATTACAGCCACCAGGTATGTGGAATCATTACTGGCTGCTGATGCTGGCATAACAGGGCCCAAAGTCAGCAGGAAGATAGGGAAGCCACACAGCTGTTCAGCTCTTGGGAACAAAATAAGGGATGTCACCATGTGCCTATAGATGTAATCAAGATACCAACTATGTCTCCATCAGCTAGCAAGGAGGAGACACTAGCTTTCCTAGGCTTTGGGGAAAGTGCATGTTCCAGGTTAATGTTAGCCTACTCCTCTCCATGGAATAACCTGGACAAATCACAGAATCCCAGAGTGGGTTGGGTTGGAAGGGACCTTAAAGACAGCTAGTTCCAAGCACCTTGCCATGGTTGGGGACGCCCCTGAGGAGAAAAGTGACACAAGTGGCTTGGTGGGCACCTGGTGTCCAGCCACTCCAGCATTGAGTCCTGCAGCAATTGCAGTTTGTGTGTCAGAACCACTTTCTCAGTGACACAGACTGGGGGGGGCAGGACACATCTGTTGGTGTATTAAAGCTGCTGTCACTTGCAAACACAGAGATGGACGCTAGGAGGGTGCACGAGTCTCACCATGGTTCTCTGTACTTCTGCCTTGCTGGCTTTTCCTCTCCTGCTGTGCAGTAGCTCAGAGCTGATGTCAAAACCAATCTGAATCAACCTAAGGACTGGTCTCTGAATCAGATCAGTCCTTATGTTTCCTATTAGCACCTCTAGAAAATTCAGAATTCTCCCTGTCCTGTCACCTGTCCCCCCTGGAGTAGCCTGTAAAACATAACAAATGCTCAGTGATCACTTCAGAGAGTGTTTCTTCCTATTTTAAGAGGAGCATGGCCAGCACTCTAGCCTGTTATGGCCAAACAAGAGACAAGAAGAAATGTCAACCATCAAAACCATTTTTGATCTGTCCCCAAGAACCTCTCAGCTAGGGCAAGTAATTCCATTGAACAAGTTAAATTCTGTCTGTAAATTTGGTTTGTATTATGTAAACAATAGCAGCTGCTCCCTGCCCAGTAATGTGTCATGATTTTTCATGTGTTATCTTGTCCAGGATGATAGAAACTGTTGCACACCTATATGCAGACCAGGCAGTTAAATTAGTTTAACACTCACATTACCCCAAAGTCTTGATAACTGAGCTGGGAGGAGTGTTACATTTAGTTTGTCAAAATGTCTCCTACCTGTTTATTTTGCAAGTCAGGTTGCTGTGCCTGTGCAGCTGCCACAGGTCTTGAAGGAACTGCATGTTTATTCTTCAGCAGGTTTAAAATACGTCAGCATTGACCTGCCTGTGATGCAGGCTGCCCCTGAGATGCAGTGAAATGGAACAGGACATTGACTTAAAAATGGAAAAATACGAGCAGTCATCTGTCCAGCCTTACAAAGCACCATCAATGTGAGGTCCTGTGTAGAGAACATGAATTAGAATAGTTGCTTGGGTAAACACAGCAGGAAAATGGGAAAGCTTAAGGACAGGGGGATGTAACAGTCTTAAAACTCTATGATTAGCAAAGAAATCTCTTGTGTATGAGGTCAGGAAACCAGTACACCTGTGTAGCCTTTGGTGATCCTGATGGTGGCAGAGAAGGGGTAGGTCAATTAGGAAGTGGCCACACTGATGGAAAACTTCCCATTTGCATCATAAATGTGCCACTTGCACTGCCCATGCTGCCTCTGCCATCTCCTCTCTGCACCACTCACTCAGAGGCTCACTTCCACCACAGTGAGGTGTGGGTGCCATGGGGGTACAACTGTCTCATAAGGGAGAGACTCCCCTGAAGCTCCAGGTGACATTCTGCTGGGTGCAGGCATCGTCACAGCATGTTGGCAGCTCCAGGACAGGCTGTGATAGGAGCCACCCTTTGCCTAGTTGCAGTGTGGACTGGGGGACAAGAGCAGGAACCACGGCACCAGCTGCAGCACTGGGAAGAAAGGAGAGTAAGGGAGACCAGCCACGTGGCAGCAAGTCATCCTGCCAGACCTGCAAAGGCAAAGAGAGGCGAGCATTAAGCCTGTGTGTTTAGAGAGCTGGCCACCTGGCACAGCTCAGGGCAAGAGGATTATTGGATGCATGCAGGCTCCTGACAGCTACTGGGTCATGTGTGCTTAAGCTCACCACAGAGAGCAGAAGGGTTGGGGCCTGCCTGGAGCCAGGTGAGTAAGGAGTGATAAGAATCTCACCCTTCACCGGCTTTGAGTTCCTGGAGCCCTTCTGGACTGTGAGGGAGCACAACCCAGCTCTGCTGCAGAAATGTCAGGAGCTGATAGCAGTTTGCTCTGTTACACCAGAGCCCCCCTGCCTGGAGTCAATTCCCTGGATTCCAGGACTCAGGCCCTGCTGATGGATTCATCCCACTCAGCAGCCACTGCAGCTCCGCTCCACCAGCGAGGAAGGGGATCTGGCAGTGCTCAGATTTACAGGGAAGATGGCATATTAACTCCTCACATTGAAGCATTTGGTGTCACAGAGCAGAGCAGACTTGCCAGCCTGATTTAATTCCCAAGCGGATCAAAATTTAATCTGCTGCTACATCTCTGCCTGCCAGGGCCTGTTCTGGCCAGGAGCAGTGCAGGGGCAGCTCTGCAGCTGCTGCTCTCCCTCCAGAGGCTCAGCAGCACAGCCCCCCATCTCCACCCTGCCCCAGCCTGCATGGCCACACTCATGGCCTCTTAGCAGCACCCCTGGAGGTGGCAAGCATATGGTGTCCAGAGAACTGCTCTGAAGGGTCCACCAGAAAAGCCCCATATCCCCTAAAACCAGCTGGATATGAAGTTATGAATGCCTTGGGATGTGGTGGAGTCAGGTGGGGGGGAGGCTGACAGTCACCCACTCTCTGCACCCCCAACACCCCAACCCAGCAGCACTGCATCCCTGGCATGACCCAGAGCACATTGTCACCAGCCAGTGACCACAGAAAGGCCTCCCCAGCCACCTGCCTGCTCAGCATGGCTTGGGCCAGACACAGTGGGACTCAACAGCCCTCCAGCTCCCCTGTCAATCCAGGGGGGAATGGCAACAAGGAAATCACAAATCAAGCCTGGGCAGGCAATGACCCAAGTGTCAGGTCGAGCCGCAGGCAGCTGTGTTGGGGCTGGTTGCTTCTTTCCCCAGAAGGGTGGGTTATCACAGGCCTCTCAACAGCAAAGCCAGGCTCAGTTTTTTCCTGATTTGAAACCACAAAATGGCCCCTCCCAGACTGGTACAGGAGGGGAAAGCCACCCTCCAGCCCCCAGCCCCTGACAGGCTTCAGCAGGAACATGCTTTTCTCCCAGGCTCTGCAGGATGGAGCTGGGCTGCTATCGGAGCAGGCTGCTGGGGCAGTGGGTGCAGCAGTGGGAACAGATGGGTTTGTGCAGACAGCACACACTGAGCCTCTCAGTGTTGTTCTGGGTGGTGTTCACCACCAGCTGGTGTGCTGAGATATGCAATAACCCCAGCACGGCTTGGGAAAGGCAGAGGTGCTGCCCAGCAGAGGATGTGTTGCCATCCCTGGCAGCCCTGCTAGCCTGCACAGAGGGGGAGGCAGGGACCCCCAGAGTGTGCAGAGCTGGGGGCAGCCTCCACAGGCTGGTAGCCAAGGACAGGATGCCTGGCCCAGAGCCTGGGGGTGAATGGGGCTGCTGTAGCCATGGCTGAAGGACACCGACTCCCCAGAGCTGCCAGACAGCTGCTTTCCCTGCTGAGCTGCCATGGTGGGAGCTGTCCAGAGCTTCCAGATTCCTGCTCCATGCCCCAAACTGCCAGTCCCAGTGGATGCCCAGGCTGGGAGGGCAGAGCTCAGTGGGATGGCCTGGAAGGCAGGGATGTGCCCATGGGCACAAACAGACTCTCAAATGGACGTGGGCATGGATGTGCACATGTGTATGGGGGACACAGACACAAACAAAGGCACAGGGGCTGTAGCAGTGCCAAGCCAGGGGGTGACAGCTGCAGCTGTACCACAGGCCCATTGCCCTCTAGCCTTGGGTAACAGCACCCAAAATGGGTGAACGAAGACAAGGCAGGCTCAGGGCTCAGCAGGGACTCTCTGCTGCCCCTGGGCAGAAGATACCCCTGAGGTGGGGTGGTGAAGCCAGCATGGCACACTGAGGGACCAGCCTGACTAGGAGGGCTGGCAGCACCCAATGGGTCACCTGTGCCTGGGGGCTGAGGCTCTGACAGGGCACCACAGCCTGGGACACTGGGGCAGTGAGTGCCTGTGCTGGGGCCAGAGCAGAGCCACAGCCCCTTTTGCTGCAGGAACAGCCCTGGGGGAGGGCTCACAGCTCCAGCACAGGGACCAAGCAGAGCTGATGGTGCAGGTACCTCACCACTGACCGTGCAGTGACCCTGCACCACTGCCAATGAGCAGCAAGATGCCAAAACCAAGCACAGTTCATCTGCCTTAAATTAGGTTTTTTTGGATACTTATGTCAGATCTGATTTAGACCAGACCAAAATCTGGAAAATCATCTTCTCTAATGGATGCAGCCCAGCTTCTGGTCAGGCTTCCTCTGCAGGCCATTGCTGGCACCTCCAGGAAGTACCATTTCCAAGGCCTTTACTGTATCCACTGCTCTGGAATTTGGTGGCACAATCCCTCCCTGCACAGGGCCTGAAAGACAGGACCATGGCAGGCTGCTGTCCTGCCCCCCAGGTACCAGCAGCACTGGCTGGAGCTGGTTTGAAGCACTGCTTCACAGCTGCTGGCTCACAGAGAGCACTGTGGCTCCAACTGGCAGTTTTTGGGCAGGGATGTCACCAGCACAACTGGCTGGGACCAAGCACTGTTCTGCACTGGCACCAGCCTGGCACCCAGCCCAGTGGTATGTAGGGTCCTGCTGAGGGGCCCAGGACCACAGGCCATTAACAGCAAAACCAACAGGAAAAAGCACTTAAAAACATTTAATTTAATAGAGTAAAAAATTTAGCTTTAAAATTATAGAAAGGCAGGTGAGGTTGGACACAAGTACAACTACACTGAAGACATCTCACTGACACTTGAGCAAGATATTTACATCAAAAAGCATGGTCAGGGCAGTACCAGTTTGCTAGCAGCGAGTACCAGAGTACCATGAGTACCAGAACAAGTTGCAGTAAGCCTTCTGCAGAGCTCCAGCCACGGCTGCCACGTACAAGTCTGGCACTTGGGAAGCAGGGAGGAGGTGGTGAACACAGCCACATGACAGATGGAATGAGTACAGCTGCACCATTACGTGGAGCCTCCTGTGCACAGAGAAAGCAGCTTTCATGGCCAGAGGGCTGTGCTGGTGTCACTGCCCCTCTGTGGGAGTGGAGGAGGGCAGAGACCAGCCCTGGGCCACCAGCACTCCCACCCAGCCAGGGGACTTCCCTGTGAGGGGGAGAGGCAGCACACGACCCAGCTCTGCAGTCCTGACTCTGTTTTGCTAGTAGGTAGGGTCAGAGACACACACACACCAAACTAAGGAATATATATACCCTCTAATTTCCATACTGTTCTAAGTCCTCAGTTTCCTCTAATTGTACCCCCAGTTACCTGTCCACAGAGTTCCCAGTCATTTTCCTACACAATACACTCTCTGTGACTATAGTCACTCAAGCTTCACAATATCCAAACAGAGCTTGAGAACATTTCATGCTTTGGTACCGCATGGATTGTCTACTATCAGTGGAGGTAGTTGGTAAGCTAATTGTTTCATGATCATCCAAACCTTAACATAATATGCAATTACCAGAACAAAAAGCAAAAGGATTAGCATCAATAAAACAACACCAGGGTGAAGCACTCAGCTGAGAATTCTGGTAGCTGTAGGCACCCATCCAAAAAGAATGCCCAAAGTGTTCTCCATCTTTCTTCACCCGCTCCATCACATTGTCACAGCTCAGGTTGAGATGGGCACACTACACAGAGTGTCACCAACCATTCAATACCAGAAAGCTTCAACCCATACAGAGTGACACCAGACCCCTTCAGAAGGCTTCAGGTGTCTGCCCACACAGAGTAACACCATATCACCTCAGAAAGCTGCAAGCATCTGCCCTTCTTGTTCTTCAGCCCAGCCTTTTACACCCCTGATGCTGATGCACTGCCCCTGTGTGCCCTCTGCTCCCTTTGGTGGGTGCTCAGCACACCTGGGCACTCCATGGCTCGCTGCTGTCAGTGCTGCTCACAGCTGTGCCACTGGGGATGAGGCTGGGCCAGCCCATCCCAATCACCCCAAACTGTGTGCCTACATCACATGATGGATTTCTGCCATGCCATGATGGACAGCAATTAAAGCCTTTTATCCATTCTCCTGGGTTTGTTTCAGCAAGCCTCAGGTCTGTGTTGGAACAGTACCTTTACCAGTTCATACCAGTGGGAGTAGGCTGCAAGTCTTGAATCAGGGTATAGTTAGATTCCAAAAATTGACAGGATACAACAGGAGGTAAAAAACTAAAAATCTTCATTTAAAAAATAGAAACAAAAAATAAGTAACTAAAATCCTGTCATTGCAATAGTTACAAGTACAAATATTGGAGTGACTACTTGTATCTTCAGTAACGTTATCTACAAATACAAAATCACAAGAGGTTCTCATGCATCTTGTACAAAATCTCACCAAGTGTACCACTGACTTTCAGATCCTAGCCAATAATTTTCTGTAGGGTATTTAGTAGTACAGCCAAAGCATAGTGAATGTTATTCCAAAATGCATCCTGCACAAAAGAATCCAAACTCAAACTAAAAACTTCTTAGAGTCCCCTGAGTCTAGGGTTATCCCTGATGCTCCCTGATCATGCAAGCACACCACCCAAGAGAAAAGAGGTTCCCCTGTTTTTTCCTAAACTGTTCAAATATTTAATTTACTTTATGCTGAGTATAATCCTCTATGAGTATCCCTCCTGACCATTAGCATCTAATTCTACCTTTCGTCTCCATGCTGGTCTCACATCCACAAATTCATCTCGGGAACCAGCCTCATCAGAATGCACAGAATCCCAAATATCTCCATTCCATTTATCAGGATCCCACTGCACACCTGCCTCTGCAATAACTGCATGCATTTTCTTGTCATTCACTTGCCCTCTCCTTTCCTGATACTGAGCTACTCTAACTGCAGCCTTCTCAGCAAGTTTGGTAAATCCATCTTATCAGCAAGCAGCTTATTTGGGCATTTTAGCATTACAGTTTGATTCTGCAACTCACATCTGTTGGTCCATGTTAGAGCATTTCAACAACTGTTCCTTTTGTTGGTGTTTTGTTTGATATACTGTTAACAAAATTCATCCTTGCCTTTCCAATCCACAAGTTCTTTTCCTTTTTCAGTATGCAATTTTTGGATGCATTTCAATATATCCAGCAGTTCAACTCCTTATAACTGACTTCCCTGTTGCTCACATGGCCCACTTGAGGACCAGTGAACTATATGGAAGGTCTTCCCATCTGGGAATTTCAGACAGGGCTGATTCTTTTCATTTAGATTTTAAAAGCAACAGTTTGTTGTGACCCTGCTGACTGCGCTGATTTTTGTTTTGCGAGTAGGGTCAGAGACACAGACACCAACTTAAGGAACAGTGGCATTACTATGATGTAAAACTGCAAAGAATCACAAAAAGCTAAGCAAGGCACCTAACCATGAGCAAAGAATTGCAAAGGGACAGGCTGAGCAATGCTAATCATTGCTAGGAAAGAATGCCTACAGTGATGAAGGAAGATCCATCACACATCATCCAAGCCCAAGAACATCAGCTCTGGGGGAAGCTGCCACAGCCAAGGACTGGAGAACCACGCCAGGAGCTGGGAGCTCCTGCAGTGCCTCCTCCTTTGCAGGCCACCAGGCTCCCCCACTTTGCTGGGACAGTGGTCCAGGTTTTACACTGCTAAACAAACCAGCTGACATCATTTCTGATTTCATTTTCCTGTCAGCTTCCTCCCAGAGCCTGGCCAGGGCTCAAGGAGGATCCAAGGGGAGTTGTCTTTGATCCTATACCACCTAATAAGGCCAGATGTGGCCCTGTCCTGTTTCTAGATACAGAAAGGTGAACATGTTTTGCCAATAAGTGAGTACATGTAACAATACTTTGTTAAAGTGGAAACATACAACATTTGGTTGGAGTGTTCATCCTAGGTCAGCTTTGGCTCAGGGCCTGTTGTTCAGATCTTAGTACTTCACCCTGGGACTCAGTCTCTGCAGGAGAGGGGATAGATGGATCATGATCTTGCCCCAAAGTGGCAAAGAGGTCCATGGAGTGCTGGTCCCCAGGCCCTCACACCGCAGCAGCCCCAGGGCTGAGGTCCAGTCCAGGATGGTGCAGAGGTTTTTCTACTGTGGCACAGGCTTTTTCCGCATTTTTCCCTTCCACGCTGTTCCAAATCCCGTAGGTGAAGTAAATAATGAAACCTGCAGGACAGTTTCCATAATGAAATGTGCAATGGTGGGTTGTCAGCACTAACAGACCCCCAGGAGAGAGCTGTGGGCACTGCGCTCCCCACCACAGGACACCTACCCAGAACCATGCAGACGGCAAACCGCGCCCAGGTGGCGGCACTCAGCTGTACCATCAGCAGGATGTTAATGAAGGTGCTGAACATTGGCACGAGTGGGAGGAAAGGTACCTGCAAGGGACAAGAAGTGCTGTGTCAGCTGTGTCTTGAGGGACCAGGCTGGGCTTGAGGATGCTACTGGCCAATGGAAGGACCCCCTCCCTGCCACAGCCCAGAGCTCCCAGGCACTGCCACACTGAGGGCTGCACCTCAGAGAGACGTTTCAGGGCCCTGGGCTTTCCTGGTGACTGCCTGGCAGCAAGGCCTGGCAGACCCTGCAATGCCCAGATCCTGATGGAGTCCAGGGGGTGCAGACACCAAAATGCAGGGGGCTACACTCACTTTGAAGTTTAATCGTGCATTGCTCTGCGGCTGCCTCCAAATGATGATGGTGAAAATAAGCAGAGCCATGAGGAGCAGCACCAGAGCCACGACACAGCCCACATTGGCATCCTTCAGCGCAGCCATATTGAGGGTCAGGACCACACAGATGACTGTGATCAGTGCAGCTGCAAGATAAGGGGTAGTCAGGAGACTGAATGGCACATGGCCTCCCTGACACCCTGAACCTCACCCACAGCTGGGCTGAGGCGCCCACTGCCCTTGGTCAGGTCCAGCACCAGCTGTCTCTAACACCCCAAAACCTCTCTTTGTGCCCCAAAGCCTTAGGAAAGTGCTTTGCTGAAGGCACTTCCCAGACCAGCAAGCTGCAGGGAGCCTGAGCTTGGCTGGGCTTGGACCCAGCTCTGACGCTTACCCAGACCTGGCTGAGCCTCCCCATTCTGGCTGTACAATGGAGCCATTGATAGGCAGATCAAACCCCACTGGCTGAGCCCAAGCACTCTCAAGGGGCTGGGCGCTGCCCTTGCTGGTGGCCAGCGTGGGTCAGCCTCATCACAGGGATCTCCCATGACCATCTGCACATCCCTGGCTTAGCAACCCTGTCCTCCAGCAATGCCTATGCACCCCAACTCACAGCTGTACTTTGCACTTGGCACCCCTCCTTAGGGTTGAGCACCTGCTGGCACTGCCAACAGCGACTGGCAACCTGGCCCCTCTCCTCTGCCTGGCATGCTCTCCATCCCTTCCCAGCTCTACAGAGACACGCCAAAACACTGCAGCCCCTGGCAGGGGGGGACACCAGCCGCCAGTTCCCACTCACTCACCAATGACCGTGACACAGACATAGACAATGCGCCCCGAGAGCACAGTGGGGGTGTCCCCAGGCGGGTTGAAGAGCATCACCAGGGACAAGGTCTCTTTGTGCTGGGCACTGGCAGCAGTGATGGTCGGGTTCATGATCACTGTCTCCTCCTCATTCCCATTCAGCTCCAGCATTTCCGTGGCCTTCGGAGAGTTCGGCTGTCTGGGCTGGTACCTGAGCAGGTAAGACAAGCTTGCAGCAGAGCCCAAGCAACTTCCTAGCCCAAGGGAACAGTGGGCAGCACCTTCATATCCCTGCTGCTCCAGCAGTGGCCCCGTGACAGCCACTCCAAGGATATGCCCAGAGACACACACAGGCTCTGGTCAGCAGCCTCCATCTTGGGGGCTTGACACTTCCCCAGGATGCATGCCCCTGGAAAAAAGCTGTGGCTACAAGCCCCCAGGACGATGTAAGGAACATCCACCCTGGGCACTGCCAAACACGAGGAGTCACGCACCGGAGGATGAGCACGCACACGGCCACCAGGGAGTAGGCCAGCAGCGTGCCGATCGACATGAGGTCCACCAGGTCCTTCAGGTCAAGCAGGAGGGCAAACACCGCTGCAAGGAGGACAGGCAGCATGAGCACAGCTCCAGACCACCATAGGGCTGGGTGCGAGGGGGTGGCCAGGAGCCTTACCTGCAAAGAACCCCGAGACAAAGGTGGCGATCAGAGGGGTCTTTCTGCCACTGTGGATCCGGGAGAGGAACTTGAAGAGCAGCCCGTCCTCTGCCATGGCATGGATCACTCGAGGCATAGGAAACATGGAGCCCAGCAAGCTGTTGTGGAGAGAGATTAGGCAAGCTGCGCACATCTACCACCCAGAAGGGGAAGGGACCAGCTCTGTGCCAGGAGCAGGACAGCAGCTGGAGAGAGCAAATCCCCAGCCCAGCCAGGATAATGCTGTCAGCCCCAGTGCTGTGTCCCAAGCAGTGCCAGGAATAGAGCCAGTCCTACCTGGTGGAGAGGGCACAGAGCGAGCCAACGGCAACGGCGTAGCGGGCAGGCTCCCAACCAACCGCCTTGAAAGCCTCAGGCAGAGGGCTGTTCTTGTTCAGGAGGAAGTAGGGCACCATGAGAGTCAGGGATGCAGAGACCCCAAAATAAGCCACAAAGCAGATGAGGAGGGACACAATGATGCCAATGGGAATCGAGCGCTGCGGGTTCCTGGCTTCCTCTCCTGTCCAGACACAAGAGGCCACATGTGCCCCACTCTACTGCACAGCATGGGACAAGTACCCGACCAGGGGATGAGCCAGAGTAGGGACTTTCCATGGAAGCACAGGGCTGGGGAGCAGCAAGCAGTGGCTGCTGGAGAGGAGGGTCCCTGGCCATGCTGCTGCTGCACTGGCAGAAGGAATGGAGCTGCCTGGCAGCCTGGGCTTGCAGCCACCCCTTGGCCATGCCAGCCCTTCTCCACCACCCTCAGCTCCCTCTCCCTACAGAGCCTGTTGAATGGAGGTCCTCCTTGAATGTGTGCCTCGGCTTGGCAAAGGTGTGCTGCACCACGCTCCCAGCAAGGGGCTCGGCAGCAGGAAAGGAGGAGACTGCTGGGCAGCCCCTGGAGGCAGGGTGGCACTGGCAAGGTCAGGCAGAACAGCCTGTACCAGCCACCCACTAAGTAGATTTCTGGGGTAATGAGAGGAAATTAAGAGAGCTGCCTGTACTCCAGGAAGCAGCAGTTTTGCATGAACCCAGTCATTTGGAAAAAGGCTGCTTGAGGCTGGGAAATAACTAGGAGGCACAAGCAATTCCCAGCACTGTTGCAGGCTCAGCTCAGCAGTCAAAAGGCTCCCCGCTGCTCTGGGAGCTGGCTGTGCAAGCAGGGTGCAGCCCTGCTCCCACCATGTGGTGCAATGAGCCACTTTTCCTGGGGCAAGGCAGGCTCTGAGCCCTTTTGTCTGGCCCAGCTGAAGACACAGACTCCACAGGGAAACCTCCCAGGAGCAGTGAGACCAGCTGTTTTCCCACACCATGTAGCATCCTCCCCATCAGCTCCCAACCAGCTGCTGGCTGTGCAGGGGAAATGCCCATGCCACCCTCACCCAAGGCAGTACCTGTGGTGGCAATGCAGTCAAAGCCCACAAAGGCATAGAAACAGGTGGCAGCGCCAGTCAGCATTCCTCCCAGTCCAAAGGGGAAGAACCCACCAGAGCCAAAAGCTTCTTTCCTGGAAGAAATGCAGGAGAGCAGCTGCCATGAGGTGCAGGGACAGCAGGGCCTGTGCCTGCCCTATGCCAGATCCCGGCCTGGCACAGTTGCTCAACTTACATGTCATCCAGTGAGTCTGGCAGCGAGCAGTTGATACAGTCCTTCTCTGAAAGCTGCCAGTTCTTGATATCTCCCTTGATGAATCCAGCAATGATGACAAAGCTCAGCACCAACAGGTTCACCGCCGTGAAGATTTTGTTCACGAGGGCAGATTCGCTGACCCCAAATGCCAGCAGTACTGTGGGGACAGAAGAGGTGAGTGAGGACCCATCAGGCTGCCACGCCATCACCCATGGTACCATGGAGCCACTCTCCTGCACACCCACCAGTGAGCAGCAAAATCAGGATCAAAGCAAAGAAGTCTGGATGCTTGGCCAGCACTCCTGGCAGGTGCATTGAGATCTTGTTGGCGAAGAAGGTGGAGATGGGGTTGCCGATGATGTTGTCAAATGTTGCACTCCACGCTCGAGCCACACTGGCCGTACCTGGTTGATGGCAAATGTGTGCATTAGTTGAGCCCAGGACAGATGGGCTCCAGCCACCCACACCTGCTGATCCCACCCCACACCCTGCACCCACAGCACCACATGCTTCCCCCAGAAACCCCCCATGCTGCCAGCAGGGTGCTGGAAGGAGCCCACACATGCTGCCTGGCCTCGTACCTATCACATAGGAGAGAATGAGGTTCCACCCGGCTATAAAAGCCCAGATCTCACCAACGGTGACGTAGCTGTAGAGGTACGCAGAGCCGGCCTTGGGGACACGGGCCCCAAACTCTGCATAGCAGAGTCCAGCCAGTACAGATGAGAAAGCAGCCACCAGGAAGCAGAGGACGATGGAGGGACCAGCCATCTCCTTGGCTACCTCCCCGGCCATCACATACACACCAGCCCCTAGTGTGCTGCCCACACCCAGGGATATGAGATCCAGTGTGGAGAGGCAGCGAGCAAAATGTGTGTCGTCGGAGCTCAGGTCCACCACGCGCCGGCGGATCAGCTTCCTCCCAAAACCGGTCATTTTTTCCCCCAACATCTTGTCTTCTCCTCAGTGAAGCTCAGCTGGTCAAAAGCCCTGCAAGAAAAGGGAAATGTGAATCTCAGTGTCCTTTAGGCAGCGGGACTGGCACTTCAAGGGGCAGGGTAGGAAATGATGCCCACAGGAGCCTGCTCCCAGCTCACTCATTGGCACCATGCCCCTGCCACACTGGTTGGCCAGAGACCATGGTAGTGGCACCCTCCAAGGCACTGTGGGGCTGCACACACCCTGCCTGCACAGCCCTTGCACCATGACAGTGAGTAAGGGATGAACCCAGTCAGTCCATGCTGGGAAATGCTCATTGCTCAAGCCCTGTGTGGTATTAACCATAGAGCTCATAGGTGCATCCCAAAGCTTGCCCACTGTTCCCAGGCTTGGCAGCCTGGAGATCCTTCAAACCAAACTTGACTGCTGGTACATTTCTCCAGCCTGGCACATGGGTGTGCACAGCAGCAATGATGTGAAGACAAAGAATCCCTCCAGCACAGGATTTGACAGGCTGAGCTAACTCACTGGATGCAGCCATTCCTTTGTTGCTTTTGGCATCTGCACCACATTCTCTACAGGGATGCATAAGCAGACAGATAAACAGCATGGGTTCCTGGTGCAAACCCCTTGCCTGCTAACAGTGCTTGCTAAGCAGTCTGCAAGCTCTACAGGCTGTAATCACCCCGAATATGGGACATCCCCACTCCTCTTACAGCAGCCACCTATCCTCAAAAGGCTCTGAAGATGAGCAACCTGTGAAGCAGGCATCCAGCATAGAGGAGCTGCAAGGAAAGTGGTTCCCAATGCCCATGGCCACAGCTGGCACCTCTGCCCGCACTGAACCACCCAACCACCAGTGTATTCTCCCTTCATCGGAAAATGACACGTGCCCAGGACCGCATGCCACACTACATTTATCAGCCTAAGCACACAAGGAGAACTTTGTGACTATTTCCATAGAGGATTATCAGGATCACAGTAGCAGCCACCAACTCGCGATAACCAGCAAACCATCCTGCTTCTTAATAAACCTCCTCCCGAGCTGGCACGTCTCACATTCAGCCTTGACCCCAAGTGCAACAAGTGCCCCAGCACTAGCACCCTCCTCAGCCACTACCTGGACAACTCTAGCTGCCTTCCCCAGCGCTGGTCAATTGTTCCAAGTACCCGACTCGAGATCCGCACGGGTCAGGCGGCAGCAGGAGGCTCCCGCTGCATCCCGGTGCCTACCGCAGCCCGGCAGCCATCGCATCCCGCCGCGACTTGGCGTAGGTGTGGGAAGCTGCTAGCTCGGGAACAGCGCCTCAGCCCCCGCGGGGGCATCTCCGGTCCCCAGGAGTGCCACCGCGGAGCCCGGCGATGCGGCGGGGATGGCAGAATGCGAGCGCGGCCCCGCGGCAGGACCGGCCATGTGCGGGCTGGCGGCAGCTGATGCAAGACCGGCACCGGTTGCGCCAAGCCCCTCCCGGTCCGGCGGCAGCGCCCGCCACCACTCACCTGCGGCGCGGTTCGGTTCGGCTCGGCTCGTCCCCGTGCGATCCCCTTTAGGTGAACTCGGTTCCGTTCCGCGCCGCGGCCGAGAGCGTTAGAGGGGGGCGAGTTCCGCCCGTGATAGATTGGTACAAATGGAGGCGGGAACAGGCGCTCATCAGCTTTCACCCAGGGTGAAAAGCCCCAGGGGAGGAGGCGGGAGAAGGCAGAGCCGAGTTCCTCCTAGCCCCACCCGCCCCCCGGTTCCCGCGCTCGTTTTTGAAAATATAAATTCCAGGGACAAGTGGCACCGGGGCGAGGCACGGCTCGGCCGGCGGGAGTGCGGCTGCTGCGGCCGGCAGCTCCGAGACCAGGGCAAGGCACCCTGCTCCTTCGGGAAACGCCACGGAGGGAGCAGCTGAGGGTCCCCCGGGTCCAGATGTGCCATGAGAACAGAGCCTGTCCCGGCCGTGCCCCGCCGCGGCTGGGAGCGAGGCGAAGAGGCGAGGCCAGCCCCGATGCAGGCGCTGCCAGCGGAGCTCAGCCCGCGGCTTGTGGGGTGACTCTCCCCCGACCTCCGTATGCTCTGCTACAGGCCCCTCAGTTCTGGGAGCAACAGGCAGCCCTAAGTGATGGGAAACGCCAGTCCTGGGAGAACTGTTCGGCAGCCAGGAGAGAGGCAGGGGCCAGCACCATCCTCTCCAGCGCTCAGGCTGGGAGCTGCCTGTCAGCAGGCCGCGCCTGATGCAATCCAGTGCTTGCCTGTCGTGAGCGCCCATTCAAAGCAGCAGCTCAGAGAGGTAAGCCAGCCCCTCGCCGGCATCATGGGCAATGCCCTGCTCCGGCATTGCCGCTATCGAGGCAAAAAGCTTTTCAGCCTCTTGCAGAGCGGGGGGGAGCACAGCAGGGCAGGCAGGAGCGCTAGGCAGCTGCCTCCCCCGCATCCTCTGGGTGGGGAAAACTCCGGGAATATGCAGTGATGGAAACACTAGCTCATGCTTCTAACGAAGTGACTCAAGCTCTTCTGCCCCCGCTTCTCAGAATCGAGGAACTGCAGTTCAGCAACCTCCCTTTCCTTCCTGACCCCATGACGAAGTAAGGTCAAGGCACAGACAGCAGCATGGCTGTTACTACTCACACAGCTCCCACTCCTGCCAGCGCTGCCAGCTGTAGGCAAGGACCCACCTGGGCAGCACCATCGCTGAGAATGTTCTCAGACAGGATAGGCAGCACCACGGGTACAGCAGGACTCCAAGCAAGGTCACCCTGTCCCAGACAAGCAGACACGGGGTACCCAGAATAGCAAGGTGGCAGATTACATTATTTCCCTATTACCAGAAACCTTCTTGCAACATCAGGCGTTGGGAGGCAATTTCCAGAAAGGAGCAGCATTAGGACACCAGAACACGTCTGCAGCTCCACATGTGTCTTCCCAGTGTCCCATCCTCACCTCCCAGTCTTACTGCTCCCCACTCCCATCAACCAGGGCCCGGATCCAGCAGCACAAGCCAAGGGCCAGGAGCAGGCAGAGGCATGGAACAAGCCAAGTGCACGTCTCAACAGGAGCAGCAGGAAGGCAAATAGCGGCAAGGTACACATAGCCAGCATCAAAAGAGGGTAGGAAATGGCTCCAGCCCATAAAAGGGGCCAGAAGACCTGCAGAAACAGATCCGCATCCATCCCTGGATGCCTCCACCACCTTCCACAACTGAAACATTATAGAGTATTTCAGATTGGAAGGGACCATAAGGACCACTGAGTCCAGCTTCACCCACGAGTTCCTCTTTGTTTACAAGTAGCAGGGCACTTTTTGGAGTCAACTCCCTTAGTACCTGCACCAAGAAGTTATCTTCATGCATGTCCAGGGAACACACAGCATGTTAGGGCTCTCTGCTGCAGATTGTGCCAGCATTGGAGCTCCCCAGCAACCAAGTGCCACGCAGGGGTGGGAGACAGCCAGCACAGCTGTGCAGCCCTGTGCAGCCACCCCTGTGCACAGTCCAGGGCAGTGCCCCAGGAAGGGGTGTGGGCTACCTGTGAATGCATGTTCCAAGGCAGCCAGAAATAACAGGAGGAGGAACAGGCCAGCCTTCCCAGCCCTACCTCAGGGCACTGCCAGCACCAGACTCTCCAGTGCCTCACCCAGACACAAGGCAGTGCAAGAAGGTGCCTGCATCAATGACCACTGAGAGAAGGCAGCAGAGCAGGGCTCTCAGCACCAGCATGCAGAACAGTGAGGGACTGGACTGAGTCCCAAGTGCATGTGCCACCATGTGCCTGCAGTCACTGATAATAAAGCAGTAATAAATAGCCAAAGGCTACAAAAGTCTAATGTGCCATAAGCCAGCATTGCCTTTTCCCACATCCAATGTGAAGATGGCCTAAGGAAAAAACCTGCCCATACAGTTGCCTACCACCACCACACATCCAAGTATTCCACTGGAAGCATCAATTTTGTCCAGAAATGCTTCCCCAGAGCCACACTGTACCTCCATCCACCAGCACTCAGCTCCTTCCTGTAACAGATCTCAAATCTCTGGCTGAGCAAAGCCAGCCGTAGCCAAGCACAGACCTACCCTGTTTGCCCAGTGGGGATCCGTGGGCAGCACTGGGCACTGCCTCTACCCAAGTAGACAGCATGCACCACTGCAAAAGACACCTTTATTTTACATGCAAGGAGTTGAAAAATTAATTCATTCAAGAGCTCTACATGTATCACTGGCCCGGGGGCTCACACAGCTAGACAATGGCTGTTGTCTGTCCTCATGTACCAGCTGTCAGTCTCTCCCCAGGTCACCACTGTCGAACACTGCTGCATCTTTCAGACAGATTCCTGGGAAGCAACAGCAACATCAAAGTAGTAATGCTTCTGGCACTCAGCACCTGAGCCCTGAGAAGGCCTGTATGAGCTGTATCCCTCCCACTTGACAGCCCTCAAGGGATCACTGGAGCATCCCTGCAGCCTGCCCGGAAGCGAGGGCTCACCACAGTGAGGGAACATACCTGCTGCTCTGAGCTGAGCCTGCAAGGAGGAGATTGTCTGCTGATAGGCTTCACACTGGGCAGTCTTGTCAGCTGCAGACAGAAGGCAAAAAGGTGTGTGCTCAGCCCATCCTAAATACCTCACGCCGACTCTCTAGGGCAGCAGCTGAGATCCTGCTCTACCCCCTAAACATGAAGCCAGCCCCACTCCCATGGAGCTGCAGGCCCTGGGCTCCAGGTACAAGCAGAGGAGATGTCACCTGGACTGCAGGTGTCCTGCAGTCCTCAGAATAGCCAGCTCCACGTACCAAGCTCGCCCTTCACTTGCTCCAGCTCTTTCTTCACACGCTCCAGTTCCTGGGACAGCTGATCACCTGCAGACTGGCAAGAGCAGGGTGCAAGTGTGATGCAGGGAGTTGCACCCCCCCACAACACATCCACAGCACAACCCGTCCTCTGGAGGAGCACTGCAGCCCATCCAACGCTCCAAGCTCAACCCCCTGGGGACCACTGCCAGGGCACATCCATCACAGGAGCAGTGCCTGGCAAAGGAGCCGCTGTAGCGAGCATCTGCCAGCACCCTGGGAAACAAGAATGCCTTTGGCTGGCTGCAGCCACAGAGTGAAGAGCCCTAAAACTGCTGGAAAATGCACAAACTTATTTTGCAGGTAAGAGATTTCCTAATTTGGAGATTCATCTTGCAGGCTCTGCACACCCCATCCTGGGGCCATGTCCTACATGTCAGGACGTATAAAAGTGACAGTACAAGCCACATGAAGTTTGCATGTTTCAAAAGGCCGTTAGAAAATCTAGCTGGACAGAAGCCTGCAGTCCTCTGAGCATGGAGAGGTGGTAAAGCCATGCAAAAAATGCCCATGGTCTTGTGTAAACCCCAGAGAAAGGCTGAAACAGCTCAAGTGCCAGCCAGAAATTGGCAGGTCCGGCTCTCATAATCTCCTACCTCTGGCATAGCTGGCCGAAGCCAGAGACTGAACAGTGCTCCATGGTGACAGGACACAGCTGGCCCTTACCTGCTCAGCAGGAACTGCATCTTCACACCCTGTAGTCAGGCCAGGGGCCAACTCACTGGACAAAGAGGACTCCACACACTCCCATGTCTGGTCATTTCTACCTGTGAAGAGAAGTGTCAGCACTAGAAACCTGCTATCCTCAGCCACTCTTCAACCTGGCCACAGAGCTGCTCCAGATCAGTAAAGGACAGAACCTGTCCAAGAGAGTCAGAAGTCTCCCAATACTTCCAGCCCAACAGCTGCTGCTGGCTTGGTCTGTATGGGTGCTGCTGGGAGAAAGTGCTCCTGCATGGCTTTGCTCCCAGCAGCTCTGGGCTCCTGCTAGGAGTCTGCTCTCACAGTGAGGGCAGGCAGCTGGCCGGGCAGGGTGGGACAGGGCTGTGGCAGCAGAGCGGGGAGAGCCTCCTCACCTCCCTTCCCTCTGCAGGGCTCAGGACTGCAGGCTGCCCAGCTGCAGTTCCTGTGAAGGCAGCACCCCCTGCCTGCAGCACAGGCTGGAGCATCCTCTGCCAGGGCCACACCTGGTCAGCCAGGGCCCATCTGGGGAGCAGCGTTGCCCAACAAGCAGCTGTCCATGTTTCTCCGCACACTCTCCCCAACACAAGGCAAGAATCTACACCTCCATACTGCTCACCTGCTCCCAAGACAATGCTTGCTGCAATCAGCCTTTCTTTGTTCTCATTTTCCTTCAGCTCTCGGGTCCTATTGAACACCAGATCCTCTGTAGTTGATTCTGAAATGAGACCCAGGAAAGGAAAATAAAGAGCATCAACCCCTGACCATGGCCACTCCCTCTCCTATGAACGAGCCTCGAGCACCAGATCTGTTCAGATTCTTTGCTGGGTGCCTCTCCAGCAAAAGAGGAAAAGGACTTCACCCAGCCTTGCTTGCTCTGCACTTCACCTCCCCTCCTCTGAGCCCAAGCACATGCAGTAGTCCCCCAGTCCTTTCCCCAGGATGAGCTTTGACCCTGGAGCCAACACCTGAATGCTCTTCCCACGGCAGCATTACCCTTCTCCTACGACACTGCAGCCTCTGAGGCTTCTGCCAAGACTCACCTTTATTGAGGCAAAAATGCTTGGACGAAATCACTTTTTCTGGAGGCCGCAGTGAGGAGCGGGAAGCCACAGTAGGAATTTCTGTAGAAAGCCTTGAGGAGGGCTGTTTACGACTCCCAACCTTGGCAGCAGCTGTAGTGAACAGTAAACACAGAGGCCGCTATTCCCAAGCAGCTCCATCGCACCTTCTTCAGGCAGCCCGTGGCTCAGCCAGGCTGCCTGCCCTAGGCGCACAGGCACCAGTACCCCGTGACCCCACAACACCACAGGGTGAAGGCTTCAAAGTCAACAGACTGCCAGCCCACACTGGAGGGAGGCCAGACAGTGTTAACACACCCCTCGGGGTATGAGACCATTTCCTAGGCTCCTACCTGTGCCGCTCCCCACTCCTCATGCCCTGTCCCCAGCCAGGCTGCAGCCCAAGCCCTTCCCCTTCTCCCTTCTAGACGCAGCACCCTAACCTACGTGCTTCCCTGCTTCGCGCGACGCAACTGGCAGGTGCAGCATTACTTTTCATCCCTCCGCTTCGGGGGACGAGTTTGGGAAGGCTGGAAGGCTGTGCCCGCTGTGAAACCCCGCTGGCACGTTGAAGCCTGGACCTGGCAGGCGACGTCAGCTTCAGCCTGGTCCCTGGGGGAGAGAAGGTTCTGCAGCGCCGGGCGGGCGGTGGCCGTGCCGGGGCTCCCCGCCGTGACCCCGCTTACCTGGGGGCCGGAGGAGCCGCGTTTCCCAGGCGCCTCGCCCCGTGCCGGCCGCGGGGAGCTGCAGTCCCAGCGAGGCCCGTGTGCGGGGGAGAGCGAGCCTGGTGCGGCCGCGGCCCGGGGAGCGGGCAGGGGTGCCGGGGCCGCGGCCGGAGGGCTCTCCGGGACCGCGCCGCGCCCGCCGGGACAGAGCGGGCCGGGCGCCGGGACCACCGCCCGCCGCGGGCTGCGGGAGGCACCCGGACTCCCCTGGAGCCGGGCCAGGGCCAGGGGCAGCAGCGGCCTCGCAATCGCCCGCGCTCGAGTCTGGGACCCGCCCGTGGCCCGGTAAGGGCAGCGGCGTGGAGGTGGCGGGTCCGGGGGGCGTGGGCTGCAGCCCGCTGAGCTCTCCCGGGCCCGGCGAGGGCTCCGCGGCCGCCCCGAGGCGCAGGCGGTCGGCGATGGCGCGACACTCTTCCTCGAAGAAGCTGAGGTAAAGGGGGGTGGACGGCGAGCGCAGCGCCTGGACGTGCTGCAGCAGGTCAGGGCAGTCCGGCGAGCTGGAGCCGGCCTGCGGCTCCGGCAGCCACATCGCGCCTCGGAACGGCCGGGGAGAACCAGAGAGCCCCGCCCGCCTCCGCGCTGCGCCCGCCCCGCCCGTGCCCGCTCTGTTCCGGCCGTTCTCCCGCCCCGCTCGTGTCCGTCTTCTCCCGGCGGTTCCCCCGCCCCGCCCCGCCCCGCCGGTGCCCGCTCTGTCCCGGCAGCTCTCCCGCCCCCTCGCCGGTGACCGCTCTCTCCCAGCGGTTCCCCGTCCCGGTAGCCCCCAGGACCAGGCAGACAACTGGCTTCACAGTGGTTTAATGCGAACGGCACCGGGACGTTACACTGGACAGGGTGCAGACAGCTGGATGGATGGCAGCCCCGCGCAGGGCAGGGGAAGGAGCCGCCCCGAGCGCGACTGGCGGCAGCAGGAGGCGGGGACCGAGCCCCTCCGAGGCCACGGCCGCCTCCACCGGCACCGGGCTCCGCGCTGCCCCATGGCCCTTTCCGGGCCGAGCCAGCCCCCGGAGCAGCTCCCTCACGCTTTCAGCGACTTCTCCCCAAAAGCCACCTCTCACCCAGCAGTACCAGTTCCTCACCAGAAAACAGAGGGGACGTTGGGAAGGCCTCGGGGAACACGCCTGGCAGGAACAGGAGGGCATCCACTCTGGGCCTGTGCTCCAAGAAAGGCTCAACTGTGCCACAACAAAGTGACCAAGCGCTTTTAAACCAGCCAGCCTTGACCTGAGGAGCCCCCGAGCTGAGGGCCAACCTCACTCATCACAGCTGTGGCAGCTGGGGGAGCCTCTAAAGGACACTTGTGCTGCAGCAAGTCACAGCCTCATTGTCCCCTCAAGCTCTGAACACTTCCCTGACCAGTCGTATGTTCTCACTTCCACACAAGCAACTGCCTAGCTCACTGCAGAACAGGGGAGAACACACAGAGCCATTGCCACTTCTCCTGCTTTGTAAGCAATGTCTAATCTAGGACTGACTTCCCATTTTCTGCTGTCCTTTTCTGGAGAGGTGGCCTCACTCCGGGTCCCACTGCTGGGCTCCTCCAGTGGCAGCCATCACAGCTGCATCCTACAACGGCTCCCACCAGCCTTCTCTTGCTCCTCCTCAGCCAGACAGTCTGCTCCTCCCAGCAGCTGGGGCCCAGGATAAGGTCACTAGGCTCAGCCGAGGAGGGTGCTGCAGGCAACACCAGCCCAGCAGCCCATGGTGCAGCAGGCTGTGCTGTTTCTTAAACTCTGGGCCAATGCATCACAGCACATGTGGCTACAGCCCAGACTATCCCATCTTCCACGTGCCAAATGGCCCACAAAGAGCATCATGAGAGCACATGGGATGGAAACCCCTCGAGCTGCCAGCAGCACCTTAGAAAGGAAGGGGCACAAATACACCAAATAGGTCTGTAATTCAGGAGGCTGATAGCAGGGTTTGAGTAGGTGTTGGGTCTCAGCACTTCCAGACAGTGAAGAATGGGGGTTTCATGCAGGGTGAATGGGGTGGATGACAGACTGACACACCCAGGCACCTACTCACTGGTTTGGATAAACCTTACTAAAACTCTAATACCTGATATAATCACTGACCAACATGACAACTGCTATTCTTCAAAGTCTCCTGCAGAGATGCTTGGGGCTGCACAGACAAGGGAGTGAAGGTCATCTCTTATCTTCCTGTACAGGGAGAGAGGCAGCTCCTACACCAGAATGCCATTAGCAAGTTCCTGCTCCACACCTATCCACATCTGCCCCTAGACATGGGATAACACACTCACTTGCATAAATCTTCACATCTTTAGGCCACAACCACAGCCCAGTAGAACAAACTGCTGCCAGTTACAAAAGAGGAAAATACTGAACAAACTGGGAGGTTCAAGAGAGGAAAAGCTGGTTCAGAGAAGACAGATTTAGTGTAAAAATAAATGTCATTTTTGCAGGAGGGAGGGTGGAATGGAGGAAGACAGTGCCAGGTGCTCCTACTGGCGCACTTTCCCTGGGACGTAATTCCTATCAATAGTCTCCTCTTGCAGGAACATATGTAAGCAGCGCTCGTTCTGTGCCAGTGGGTGTCCAGCAATTCTGGAAGAAAATCAGATGTGGAGGTTAGCACAGCTGCCTCCAAGACCCCCACGCCTCTGCTGTGTGCAGGAGGGAGTCAGGCAGCCAGCTCAGCACACCTGCACCGCGCTCAGCCCAAGGTCACGCATCGCTCTGCAACGGGACCAGGAAGAGGTGTTTGAGCACAGGCTGTTCCCTTCCAGGCCGTGCCCTGAACCAACAGTACCATGCTGGTGGGTCCCTGTAGCACAGCTGTTCTGCTAATACTCACTACGCTCTCAGGAGAGAGCACAAAGCACAACCCCCACTCAGGGCAGGACTTGCTCCAGTTCCAGTTTCATTACGTGGCTGCAGGCACCACCCTCCAGCACTGGCACCTGCCAGAAGCAGGTCAAGACTCTCACAGTCAACCCACAGCCCAGCAGCAGCTAAAAAGGCAGCACACAGCAAAGCCAGGACATCAAACTTACTTGTTAATAAACTGTTCTAGGCCCTGTCTCCGCTCCTCGATGAAAGACTCCTCAAAGATGCCTTCATCTCCTCGGAAGGGCAGCTGTCGTTTCAAAGCTTTTCCAGGCAGCGGTGGCACTACAATCTGAAAGCAAAGAATCACCCCATGAGCAGAACAGCCACCTGCAAGCAGACATCCTTTGCTGTTTGATGCTCATCTCCAGTGCCATCACATGCATAGAGAAGAAGGCGCCCACTGTCAGAGACAGACTACGTTTCATGTCTCTAAACGCTTTGGGATGCTTGGCAAATGCCTGTGTGTATGTTTGGTGGGAGGGGCAGATCAGGGCTTGTGAAGGGGAGACAGTGAAAGGTTCCACCCCCCAGCCCAGAGCCAACAGCCCAGGCCGGGCAGAGCTGTTCATCAATCACACACTGTGGGTGGTGCTAACCCAGCCCCTGAGTGACCAGAAGCTCCACCTTGGGAGGGGATCACAAAGACCCTGGGCTTAAAAGCTCCCATGAGGGACTTGTCTGGCTGCTGCATTCTCCCAGAGTTTCCATCTCACCCATGCTGGAACCCTAGGAGTTGGTAGCTATGTGTGTTTTTCTGTACCTTTTCTGTCTTTCTCTCTCTTCTAATCCTCTTTCTGTGAAACTTTTTTGGGTAACATATCAACTTAAGGTTTTAAAGGTTTCTAAGTCAAGCAGGATAAGTTTATCCTAAATTAATAGTAAATTAATGCTAACTAATGTTATAATAAGTGTTTTATAAGTGTATTTACTCCTTTGCCAAAATTTCTTATTTTTGCCAGAGAACTTTTGTGCATTTGTGACCTCTTGAGAATATCTGGTTGGGATTTCTCCTTGCACCAAACTAGAGTAAAGGAAACTCAGTTTAACCCCTAGATTTAAGTATCTGGGCTGCAACATCCACCACCACAGCCCCACTTCTGGGAATCTCAACATTACTGCTGCAGCTGTTCCCACATCCTGGCTTAAGGAATAGGGAGGTCTGACCAGGCCTCACCTTACTGTCTCGCTCCAGCTCATTCTTCAGCCACTCAAAGTCGCTGTATCGTCTCCTCACACACGACTCCTTCAATTTGAAGATGGGGAGGTTTGTCTGGAATGAAGCAAAGCAGTTTATTTGCAGGTTGCTCTGGAAGCCACGCGTGTAACTGAAACCTGAAGCTGCAGTGAGAAAATCAAACCTCCTGAGAAGGACTCATGATTGGAACACCCAACTTCCTTATTCAGGACAGCACAAACACCAAAATCCTTCAGATCCAAGCAAGCCTGTCTACTCAGTGCCAGCCATTCCCTCTCCCTTGAGTGACTATTTCTGGAACACACCCCCTTCCCAGGGGCACACACTGCAACCACTGCTGACAATATGTCTGTCAGGAGAATGATTTTTTTTCCCCATCCCCAAGTTTACTGCATTTTGAAGAGATCTACAAGAGAATTTTGCAGCAGCCTGCAGAGCAAAAGAACATCTGACATGACACTGGCATCTCCATTGAAGAACTAACTGAGGAAATCTTGCCCCAGCAACTGTTCAAGGCAGACCTCATCTACAGTCTTCTCCCAAAACAGAGCACCTACCCTAACAGGCTTTTCATGCCCATCTTGTGTCACTAGAGAACGGTGCAGCAATTCTTCACCCTTCTCCCCTGCCACTGGAGTCAAACAAATGACAGCTGCATTAACTTTACCTCATCAACACAGAATCATTCCAGGAACTGAGGTAACAAAACCTTCTGATGGACAGCACTCAGATATTACTACAACACAATTAACTGTTCTTATGAGGTCTGTGAAATAAACCCAGCTGCTTTCAGAGCATCTCTGCTGGTTTCAGTGGGACTAAGAGGTTCCCGTTGCCACCTGCAGGCTGATGGGAGCCAAGCACCAGAGCAGAAAAAAGCAAACACCAATTCTTCTGAAAGGCAGAGGAGACTGAGCAGTTAAATCACACTATAAGCAAAAGTCAAACCAGCACCACAACACATGCTGAAGGGACCTTGTTTTAGGGGAAGCTCAGTTTTACTTTTCCATCTATCAGAGCTGTGAAGGGGTTCCCAGTTCAGCTCGTTTAAGGCCCAATGAAGAGAACCTTGCTCAGCCTGCTATGCACACTCCTAGGCCAGGGGCTCTTGGCAGAGCAGCCAGCATGCAGTGTGAGCAGTCCCACGTTACTGCCACCCAGCTCTCCTCCCCTGCCTGAGATAAGCAGCTACGTGCAGCCATGCCCTGCTCAGCAACCACCCAGCGGGGCTCTCCAGAGGGAACGGGCGCAGGAGCTGCTGAGGCAGCACCTCCCCGTCCGTGCGGGCAGCAGCCCCCGCTGGATGCCGAGCGAGCCCATCGGCTCTGACCTTGAGCCCCGCAGGCGCGCTGCTCGCCCCAGCCCGGGGCTTCGCCTCCTCCGCCCCCCGCTGCTCAACAGCGGCACCGCCCCAGCCCTGCCGTCCCTCGGCCACCGCGTCCCGAGCGCTGCCGCCCCTCCCCGGGCCGCGCTCCCGCACACCGGGCAGCCCAGCCCCGCAGGCCCGACGGGGGCCGCACCCGCATGCGGAGCTCGTAGCTCGTGTATCTGGCGCGGCCCATGCCCACGGTCTGCGGGTTGAAGATGTCGATCTCGAG